CTCTGTGTCCCTCCCGAGGACTGGGGGGACTCTGTGTCCCTCCCGGGGGCTGGGGGCTCTATGTCACTCACATCACTTCCTCCATCCTCTGCTCTGCAGGGGCCCGCCGAGCCCACAGCTGGGAAGAGCGCTGTGCTATGACAGCGGCCAAGGCCCAGGAGCAAGGTGAGGACCTCTGACCACCCAGCCTTCTGTCCTGGAGCTTCGACTGCTACCTCAGGACATGGTTGTGCTGCAGGACAGTGCGGACCCCGGGGACGCGGGGCTGGTGCTCCTGGAGCCCTTCCTGCACCAGGTGGGGGGGCACCTGAGTGTGATGAAGTATGACGAGGACACCGTGTGCAAGCCCCTCGTCTCCCGGGAGCAGAGGTTCTACGAATCCCTGCCCCTGGCCATGAAGCGGTTCACCCCACAGTACAGAGGTGAGTGTCCGCGCAGACACGCTGGGGAGCCGCGCTGGGCCAGGCCGGTCTGGTGTGTGTGGTGGTTGCCATGGAGACATGCCCGTCTCCCGCAGCCAGTTCGCTGCCCTAGTTTCTCTGAACTCCTCACGTCCGGGGCTGGAGTATAATACACTGGCATCCTTCCAAATTAGCTCAAGCACCGGCTTCGAGGAATTAGACCCGAGTGACGTGGGCGCGTGGCTGGGCTGGGAGCACGTGGCTGGGACACAGGCCGGCGGGGACCTCTGCCCTGGGCCTAGGACAGGACAGGGCGGAGCGGGGACACCACGGGTTAGGAAGCCTCGTCCAGGGCAAAGCAGGGCATGGGCTGCCTTCCAGCAGGGCCTGGGGAGTCGGGCACGGAGCGGTGTGTCCTCTGATCTGAGCACCGGGGACTCTGGCAGAGAAGGCTGGTGGGGGCTGCCCACTTCGGGCCCAGACAGGACCTCCCGGCAGAGCCTGGCTGTGATCCACACCCAGCCTTCTGTACATGAGGTTCCCGGGCCCAGCATGCCTGCCAGCCCCAGGCCCAAGGGCTCAGCGAAAAGCCTCCTTTAGAGGGTCCAGCTGTGAAGGCGAGCGCTGCCCTCCTTGTCCAGGTGTCTTAATGCATCGCAGTGACTGAGAGCCTGGGGCGGGCCTGTCTGCATTGGCGCCCCAGTGCGGCTGATCTCAGACTGCACCCGAGTCACTAGAGGAAAGAGAGAGAGAGAAAGAGAGAGAGAGAGAGAGAGGAGAACATGCAGGTTCCCGGGGCCCACCCCAGAGCTGGGAACCAGAATCCCGGGATTAGGCCCAGGGATCTGTACTCAGCATGCTCCCATTTGGGACCCACTGGTTGGGGGCCGAGGCCTGAGCCCTGGGCACTGCTTCAGTCCCGCCTGCCGGGCCCTCCTGAGCGTCTGAGACCAGACAAATGCATCAGACACTAGACGGGCACGCAGCTGGGGTGCAGCCTGGGCGGGCCTCCCCTGGGGCCTTCTGGGGTTCTGTGGTCCCTGCCCATCTTGTCAGA